TAAGTCTGTGTAGTCTACACGCATTCGCCAGGTGCCATTCGGCTTTTTAACAAGCACCACATTTGCAACCCAGTCTGGGAAGTAACATTGCCGAATGAACCCTGCATCAAGTAATTTTTTAACTTCAGCGGCTGCCGCCTGACTTCTTTCCTCGCCATGGTTCCGCTTCTTTTGTCGTACCGGCTTCTTTTTCGGATCCACGGCGAGTTTATGGACCGCCAGATCAGGACTAATGCCTGGCATTTCATGGACTTCAAATGCAAAGATGTCCTTGTATTCTTTCAATAGGTTGTGAAAGTCGTCACCAAGGTTTCTCAGAGCAGTCGTCCCAACTTTGACTGTTCGGTCAGGACGTGAGTCGTCTAAGATCAGGTCCGCATGCTCACCAGCCGGCTGAGGGCGGAATGCATCCGGCCGCTCCTCTGCCAATGATTGCTATTTTCTTGCTTTTCTTGCGGACTCTGTCTGGGACGCCTTTCTCTTTTTGCCGCCTGCTTCTTGAACAGGCGCACTCTCCTTGACATTGTCAAGGTCTGTTTTTTCACCACTTGACCCAGTGGCCATAACAGTGGGCTTGACATCCGAGAGATAGCACTCTCGGGCCATCCTCTGATCTCCCCTTAGGGAGCTGACTGTTCCATTATCCCTCTCAAACTTGAGCAACATAAGAGACGGGATTATAACAGCCTTGGAATTATTCAGGGTTGGTCGACCCAGAATCATGTTGTAGGCCGAGAGTTCCTCTACTACTAGGAACCGGACTACCATGTGTCGTCCTTCCCCTTTTTCGCCCAGGCGAATGGGTAAATCTACTCGTCCCAGTGGGTGGACTCCTCCTCCTCCAAACCCTATTAAAGGGTGGGAGGCCGGATGTATGCAGTCCGTCTGATATTTCAGTTTCGACAGACATTTGCTGCTGATGAGATCTGAGGAGCTCCCGGTATCTATGAGGATTCGGCCAACTCTCTGGTTGGCCACTTTACATTCAATAACGAGAGGGTCGTCATGCGGCCCCCTTACCCCTCCTAGATCCTCTTCAGTGATGACAATCTCAGGAAATGTATATTTGGACGGCCGTCCTTGGTGAACGGAATTTACATCTAACCGCCTTATATTATCTTTGTTGCCCCTAATAGTGGGGCCGCCTCCTGAGAAGCCGCCTGCAATGGTGTAGACGACTGCATCATCTGTATCGGAGCTGTCGGCCTGTTGATTCTTTTTGGCCGACAGCTTTTTTGAGGAAGTGTTCCCCGTAGATTTCTTGACATAAGTGTCAAGATCACCTTGCTCAGCCAGGCGGTCTAGGTACCGCATGAGACTGATGCAATCATTGGTGTGATGACCAACCTCATCATGATAAGCACAGATTTTATCTTGGTTCCGGTTGTTTGCAGAACCCTTCATGGGGACCGGCTTCTCAATTGAGATCCGTCCCTTTATTTCTTTTAGGATAAACTGGTTATCCTTGTTAAACACATACTTTGGGGAGTATGGTTTGAATTCTTTTTTCTTTTTCTGGGCCGGCTGTTTAGAGGAATCAGCCGCTCAGACCTCTTTTTTGAGTATTTGAATTCCCGGACGCCTGTTATCTTTTTTGTTTGGAAACTGACGCCTGTTGTTTTTTTTTTTTTTTTTCATCTTTGTTTGACGACTGTTTCTGTCGTCCTTCTCTTTTGTCGAACCTTTTCCCGTCCGACTGTTTTATCGTACACAGATCAGTCGCCTGTATATAGGCTTCTGCTTCAATCAAGGCCTCTTGAAGAGTCGCCACCCTTTTTCGAACCAAATCAAATTTGAAGGTAGACCCGTCTTTGAGACCTCTAAAAAAGTCGGTATAAGCTACCTCATCCGGTAACCCTTGAATCTGTATTCTCATCAGGTTGAACCGCCTGATGTAAGAGCGAAGCCCCTCCTTCTCGCCCTGCTGAATTGTTCCCAAATCAAGGGTCGTTTTCTTCGCAGGGATGTTCATGGCGAAGTTGGAGGCAAATAAGTAAGCAAGCGTCCTGAAGCTATTTACACAACCAGTCGGCAGGTTGCCGAACCATTGCTGTGCGATTCCTTTGAGAGTCGCTGGGAAACACTTGCACCAAGTGGGATCATCCAACCCTTGAAGGTACATCAGGTTGGTGAATGCCATCAGATGGTCTTCTGGGTTAGTAGTGCCGTCATAGGCGCCTACTAGTACATTTTTCACTTTGGCCGGCTGAGCGGCTTCAGTAATTTCCTTGGAGAAGGCCGACGGCTGTTCACCAAGTCTAAGCAACCGTAGCTGCCAGTCCATAGGTTGGACGTTTTTTGCTGTAGGTCCACCAAATGGAGGTGGCTGCATAAAATACTGTTGTTGCAGCACAAATGGTAAGTTTGGTACCGCCTGGGCACTATGAAAGCCGGACTGACGGGAGGTGCCGCCTGACTGACTCTCATGGTACGACTGAGTATGCCTCATCGAGGCATTTTGCAAACTGTCTTGAAAGTCTGAAGTAGAAGCCGACTCTGACAATCGGTCACTCTTCTTCTGCTCTAGCAGTAGCCGAGCATCTGTGAACGTTTGCTTTGACCCGTCCGCCTGAATATGACGAATCGGTTTCCTATTTCCTGTAGGATAACGGAATTTTGTGAAATCAAGGGCAGGTGGCTCCCGCTTCCTAGATTTAGGATGAGGAGTCGCCTCTCGCCCTTGAACTGGCTTCCTCTTCAGTGAAGTGGAAGGTTTCTTGGCCGACTGCTCCTTGACTGAAGCAGGCGGCTTCTTGTTGATCAACTCTTGAATCTCTCCCTTGAAGTCCCTCATGAAGGTCGTGAGTTCGTTTCTTGTGATGGGAGCAGACCCATCAGTCGGCTATTGCCGAGCAGGCGGTGCGCCTGCTGGCTCGCTTCCTGTTTGAAGATGCTCCCGTTCCCTCCTTTCGGTATGACGGGTACGTCGGGCCCTTAGAGTCCCGTCTGGAGCTGTATGAGTTTCAACTTCAAATTCACTTTCGGTGTCATGGTCCGACTGAACTTGAGGGTCGTCTAGGGGACGCCTCTATTCAGGAGTCGGTACAGACTTGGATGCCATCTCTGAAGTACTCTCCCCACAGACGGCGCCAAATGTTTTGGGGTTTTCTGATGTCCTGCGGGAGAGTTACAATTCCGAGACTGGAACCGGACGCCTGTACCTGCAAAATAACGGAGACTCCTGAGAGCTCCGCCTCCAACGGTCAAGTTAGTACCTGATTAAGGAGTAATTAATGCGGAAAATTAAAGTAATAAGGTCTCTGTAGGTGAGAGAGTTTAATGTTGGTAATCTGCTTTGTTAGCGAGATCAGCCGGTTATTAGTGTGTTCCGTAATGTTTCAGTCCTGTTCTTCAGGTGAGATTAATTGCTTTTTTTTCCCTTTAATGAGGATTAATTAAGTATTTATAGTCTTGAGAAGCGTGCCACTCTCTAGGTTTAGGGTAAACCTAGGGCTGACCGGGCCTCTAAACAGGATTGGGCCTTGTTGGCCGGTTTTCCCATTTGGCATGGGTGGACACGTGGCGTGTCTCACTTGGTCCGTAGAGGACGTATCTGTGATTGACACGTGGCAGGCTCCTATTGGCCTACGTGAAGGACACGTGGCGGAACCTGGTTGGTCCACTTGTCAGACGGTGATTGGTGGATAAAAATCCCCTAATCAGAGAACATCTCCCTTCCGGGTGGTACATTGTTCTAGCGATCAAGCGAAGGCCAATGGCCGGATGATCCCATTGAGGCCAATGGCCGGAATGATCAAGCGAAGGCCATCGGCCGAATGATCAAAATTAAAATAAAACAATCAGTCTGCTCCAGCAGGCGTCTGGCGACGCCCATTCGGGTGAATTCGTCGCAGAGAGCATCTCCCATTTGGGTGGTACATTGCTCTGCGATCAAGCGAAAGTCAACGGCCGGATGATCCCATTGTGGCCAATGGCCGGAATTATCAAGCAAAGGCCAATGGCCGGATGATCAAATTGAGGCCAATGGCCGGAATGATCAAACGAAGTTGTCATATGTTGGTAGGGCATTGTTAGTGAATTTTTTTCCTATGTATATCGGGCTTCTATTTTCATTCTCCCCAAATTAGTGTTGGGTGGGGTGCAAGTTGTCTGTAAAAATTATCCCTAGGATAGGAAAGTTATATTTTCTAGATCTCCTCCTATTGCCTAGGAGTATGTGTAAAAGCAAGAAGTAAGGTGGTGTGGGACAAGTGCCTTAAAAATCCTGAAGCTGTGATCAGAGATTTGATGTTTGAAATTCCAAAGAGTCGGATGCGTGATTAATGTAAAGACAAGTAGGAGTATTTTGAATTGGTATAATCGCTTTGTTTTAGAAATAGTGGGGGTAGAGTTGGGGTTTCTGTTTCCTTGGCTTGTCAAGTGCAATTGTATAGTCTTCTTCAGTTTTGGCTGTATCTTTTGTTAAGGCTGGTAATAATAATTCCGTTTTACTTTATTAAAAAAAAAAGGTTAGAACAAAGCTTCAACCAGTAAGGTCGTTATAGTTTCATACATCCATGGAGAATTCCTAACTTATGTGTCAAAATAAAATACCAATCCAATCAATAAATAAATTAGAGAAAGGGAAATAAATTTCAACCAATTTAGAATTGTAGATACCTTAAATAGGAGGAAATTGAAAATCAAAAAAGTTATGCTTTCAACCTTGGAGCAGGAGTGAGGACATGGGAGATGGAGGGATAGTTAGTCCCTCCATCTCCTCGCAAGTGATTGGGGATTCAATCCTCATCCTCTCCATGTTAGAGGAACCCCCATATCTTACCGATTACCAAAAAAAAAAAAAATCATCAAACAGGAGAATAGGGGATGAAAAGACAAAGGAAGGAGCTAAAGAGAAAAGAAGCAAAAAAAAAATGATCCCTAAAGCCTCTCTATTTCTATCTTTGGAAGTACTGAACATTGAAAGTCATTTTGGAGATGTGTGCTCATTCTCATGGAGAGTGTCTCAAGATTAGTAATAGATTGTAATACTTGTGAGGTAACAATTGATATTTTGCCATTAACAAGGATAGACAGCAGCTATTCATAACATATTACATACAAACATGATGCATATAGCACAACAAAGCTTCTATAGTTGAACCTTATCCACTTCAACTACCCCCGCAATCCCCCTCCCCTAAAAGTTAAAATAAAATAAAGTAAAAAATGTTACACTTGCAGATTCTTAAAAGCCTATAAACTAACGTCAGGTGTATCATCTATCTTTGTACTGTACTAATATCCTTTATGCTTGTAGTTTTCATTTGCTCGAGAGCTCCTACACATCAAGCTTACAATGGCAGGAGTACGCAAAGGACCAAAATTTGCGGATTAACAATCCTGTTCACACTGATTAATTGAGAAGCATATGGACATACTTTTCTATCTTAAATAATCTTGCCACAGACAGGACTCTTTCTATCTTGTCTAATTACCAGCACAAATGGAGCTTTTTCCAGATATCAAATTTGACCACGTTGCAGAAAGGACACCATCACGAGTAACTAGGTAGATAATGAAGGTAACATATGCTAATGTTGTAGCACAAACTAAGGATCCAAACAACAGTCCATTCACTTCAGACATGAAGAAATTCACTTTCGGTGTCATGGTCCGACTGAACTTGAGGGTCGTCTAGGGGACGCCTCTCTTCAGGAGTCGGTACAGACTTGGATGCCATCTCTGAAGTACTCTCCCCACAGACGGCGCCAAATGTTTCGGGGTTTTCTGATGTCCTGCGGGAGAGTTACAATTCCGAGACTGGAACCGGACGCCTGTACCTGCAAAATAACAGAGACTTCTGAGAGCTCCGCCTCCAACGGTCAAGTTAGTACCTGATTAAGGAGTAATTAATGCGGAAAATTAAAGTAATAAGGTCTCTGTAGGTGAGAGAGTTTAATGTTGGTAATCTGCTTTGTTAGCGAGATCAGCCGGTTATTAGTGTGTTCCGTAATGTTTCAGTCCTGTTCTTCAGGTGAGATTAATTGCTTTTTTTTCCCTTTAATGAGGATTAATTAAGTATTTATAGTCTTGAGAAGCGTGCCACTCTCTAGGTTTAGGGTAAACCTAGGGCTGACCGGGCCTCTAAACAGGATTGGGCCTTGTTGGCCGGTTTTCCCATTTGGCATGGGTGGACACGTGGCGTGTCTCACTTGGTCCGTAGAGGACGTATCTGTGATTGACACGTGGCAGGCTCCTATTGGCCTACGTGAAGGACACGTGGCGGAACCTGGTTGGTCCACTTGTCAGACGGTGATTGGTGGATAAAAATCCCCTAATCAGAGAACATCTCCCTTCCGGGTGGTACATTGTTCTAGCGATCAAGCGAAGGCCAATGGCCGGATGATCCCATTGAGGCCAATGGCCGGAATGATCAAGCGAAGGCCATCGGCCGAATGATCAAAATTAAAATAAAACAATCAGTCTGCTCCAGCAGGCGTCTGGCGACGCCCATTCGGGTGAATTCGTCGCAGAGAGCATCTCCCATTTGGGTGGTACATTGCTCTGCGATCAAGCGAAAGTCAACGGCCGGATGATCCCATTGTGGCCAATGGCCGGAATTATCAAGCAAAGGCCAATGGCCGGATGATCAAATTGAGGCCAATGGCCGGAATGATCAAACGAAGTTGTCATATGTTGGTAGGGCATTGTTAGTGAATTTTTTTCCTATGTATATCGGGCTTCTATTTTCATTCTCCCCAAATTAGTGTTGGGTGGGGTGCAAGTTGTCTGTAAAAATTATCCCTAGGATAGGAAAGTTATATTTTCTAGATCTCCTCCTATTGCCTAGGAGTATGTGTGTAAAAGCAAGAAGTAAGGTGGTGTGGGACAAGTGCCTTAAAAATCCTGAAGCTGTGATCAGAGATTTGATGTTTGAAATTCCAAAGAGTCGGATGCGTGATTAATGTAAAGACAAGTAGGAGTATTTTGAATTGGTATAATCGCTTTGTTTTAGAAATAGTGGGGGTAGAGTTGGGGTTTCTGTTTCCTTGGCTTGTCAAGTGCAATTGTATAGTCTTCTTCAGTTTTGGCTGTATCTTTTGTTAAGGCTGGTAATAATAATTCCGTTTTACTTTATTAAAAAAAAAAAGGTTAGAACAAAGCTTCAACCAGTAAGGTCGTTATAGTTTCATACATCCATGGAGAATTCCTAACTTATGTGTCAAAATAAAATACCAATCCAATCAATAAATAAATTAGAGAAAGGGAAATAAATTTCAACCAATTTAGAATTGTAGATACCTTAAATAGGAGGAAATTGAAAATCAAAAAAGTTATGCTTTCAACCTTGGAGCAGGAGTGAGGACATGGGAGATGGAGGGATAGTTAGTCCCTCCGTCTCCTCGCAAGTGATTGGGGATTCAATCCTCATCCTCTCCATGTTAGAGGAACCCCCATATCTTACCGATTACCAAAAAAAAAAAAAATCATCAAACAGGAGAATAGGGGATGAAAAGACAAAGGAAGGAGCTAAAGAGAAAAGAAGCAAAAAAAAAAATGATCCCTAAAGCCTCTCTATTTCTATCTTTGGAAGTACTGAACATTGAAAGTCATTTTGGAGATGTGTGCTCATTCTCATGGAGAGTGTCTCAAGATTAGTAATAGATTGTAATACTTGTGAGGTAACAATTGATATTTTGCCATTAACAAGGATAGACAGCAGCTATTCATAACATATTACATACAAACATGATGCATATAGCACAACAAAGCTTCTATAGTTGAACCTTATCCACTTCAACTACCCCCGCAATCCCCCTCCCCTAAAAGTTAAAATAAAATAAAGTAAAAAATGTTACACTTGCAGATTCTTAAAAGCCTATAAACTAACGTCAGGTGTATCATCTATCTTTGTACTGTACTAATATCCTTTATGCTTGTAGTTTTCATTTGCTCGAGAGCTCCTACACATCAAGCTTACAATGGCAGGAGTACGCAAAGGACCAAAATTTGCGGATTAACAATCCTGTTCACACTGATTAATTGAGAAGCATATGGACATACTTTTCTATCTTAAATAATCTTGCCACAGACAGGACTCTTTCTATCTTGTCTAATTACCAGCACAAATGGAGCTTTTTCCAGATATCAAATTTGACCACGTTGCAGAAAGGACACCATCACGAGTAACTAGGTAGATAATGAAGGTAACATATGCTAATGTTGTAGCACAAACTAAGGATCCAAACAACAGTCCATTCACTTCAGACATGAAGAAATCGAGGAGGAGGTAACCATTGATGACAATGACAAGCGCAGCCACAGTCCATGAAATCCTCTGGAGAAATAAAATATATAAGTAATCAGTTGGCTTCTCATAGCTGCAAGCTAATTAATGTTTGATCTCGGATTGAAGCATGAAAAGAAGGGTGGGTAGGAAACGAGGAATGCATCTTAAGTGACTTGAGTAAATCATTTTTAAACATTAAAACAGAGTTAAAGCATGATAAATATGCAGCAAAGAAGAATAAATTATTAGTCATACATGGTATATGGACAGCAATTCTGGCATCAACCTCCATTCTAGAATATAATTGGAACACAAAAGATATTGGCTGTTCCACTATCAAAGTTGGCAATAAACTAAGACTTAAAACTAACAAGGCAGAATGGACTAATGTATTATTTAGGTATTCATAAAAAATATATTTATTGGCTAATGAAAAGTTCTTATATTTTAAGGAGTTGATTAGTATGGAAATTGGATCGCTCCAAGAAAATGTAAACTCTTAAATAGACATGGTTCACATTAATTTATTATGGATCACTAATGTTAGGGTCTCTATGTTGCAATGTTACTATTTTAAAATAAAATTCATTATATTAATAAAAAGGTAAATATATAAAATAAAAGACACTTATATTTTATACTGAAAGTTTTAATATGCTAGTCAATATAATTAATAAAAGTCATTATAATAAAATAAGGGGCCACTATATACAACATAACGTTGGTTGGCACGTGTTCACACAGGTTTTAAAAAAGGTCACTATGATCAATATAGTCTTGGCTATTACATATGGACCAGAGGACTACAATAATATTATTGTGAATCAGATCCATATAAGTATTTTCCCAAAGAAAAAGCAGAAACATAATGCTTATTCTACTGAAAATTAAGCTATCTAAGGTTCTACTAAGACTACCAATGCAGCACATCAACAAAAGTACTGCAATAACCATAGTTTTAGCAATAGATTATTTGGATGTGCACGGAACTTTCTTAAAAAAGGTTGATACTTGTTTTGTGCCTATGAAATGAGAGTCTTGACAAAGGGATGCTGCAACACCTTCTGCCATGGCGTACAATATAGTTAATTTTAACACCCTTCCTAATGGTGTAGTTTTGGATCCCTCAACGCTAGTTACTTGATTAGGCATCTAGGATGCTCGGGTTGAGATCAGGGGTTTTCCTGTTTTCTAGTCATTTGTTCTTACTTTTGTTTGTAATTTGTAATGCTAAAATTTACATGTTACCAAACAAAATTTCATCCTTTCTCTAAAAAAAAAAAAAAAAAAAAAAAAAAAAAAAAAAAAAAAAAAAAAAAAAAAAAAAAAGACCAATGTGTCAGCGACGACAAAGAACCTTTGAGAAACATTCTAGCATAAATCAATAGGAATCAAGGAATGAAATTAGATATGCGAAATGAAACATTCCGATTGGGTCCATAATTTTCTGATCTAGGTCATAAGCAGGAAATGTCATTTCATTCTCAGGCTGAAAATGTGTAATCACGACCAACTTCTTTTGTCTGGAGGTACATTTAACTATTTAAGTGGTTCCTATAAGCGAATCAATTCATTTTCTTTTTCTCCATTGAAGCGCCTTTTATAAAGAACATCTTATGTTATCACCTAATTTTAAAAATATGCAAGGCTAACTACATATATTCACTAGTAAAAATATCCTAATTAATTCTATAGTCTATACTGCTGTTTGGTCAATGGATATCTATTTATTGTTTCTAGACTTTCTACCAAACCTTTTTTTTTTTTTCCCTTCATTTGGCTGCTACCGATAACTGAGGGTTATTATCAACGATGCAGTTCTACCTCATTGACATTATAAACACATAAAATACACAGGGCTAAATTCTACCAACCTGCTACTAGTACTTATAACTAATTTTGTTACTTTATGATGTTCGTTGAAAATGTAACAATTCCATAATAGTAAATTAGAGCATGTTTGGTAACTGTAACAATTCCATAATAGTAAATTAGAGCATGTTTGGTAACATTATTTTTTGTATGTAAATGTAACAATTCCATAATAGTAAATTAGAGCATGTTTGGTAACAATATTTTTTGGATGGAAACAGACTAATAAACCATTATCGTTACTGAGTGCTTTGATTAAAGGGTCTAGGTAACATTTACCTTTATTTGAGGGTAATGTTATACACCTATTAATAACCCTTGGTATAGATTTTCATGACCCTTCTCAAACACACAAATTTAAGTGATTTCATACCATGAATAAACCAAAGAAATAAAAAGATAAGAGTTTATTGATTCCTTCCCCCCACACCCACCTCCCCCCCCCCACCCCACCTCTCTCTCTCTCTCTCTCCTTATTTGATTTCATTCTATTCTGTTTTCAATGTTCCTATCAAAAGCCTCCTTAGATAAAATCAAATCAAATTCTCTGCAATACGGGAGTATAATGTTGCAATAGATGACAAAAATCAAAGAGGGGTACTGGTAATTCAGTTAATAATTAAAAAAACATGGAAGAAACACCAAAAAAAGCAGATAATTGCACAAAATTACTCTGTAATACTGACAAAAATAATAGAATAAGAGACTAGCTATTACAATAGATTCATTAAGGTGTATGAGCACATTGCAAGATGGTTCAGTAACAAATTGCAATATTGTTTACTAAAAAGATAGGTTCAGTCATACCCAATTTCCTTTTCCTAATTAGCAGGTACTTAATTAATTCACAAAAGCCAGAAGGCAGTGAACAAGCAACACAATATGACACATCCTAATATCCTATAGAAGTAGACATAGTAACACTGCATCTTCTTTCTTCCATAATCTCATCACTAGTTCAGACAAATGAAAGCACACAAAATATTTTAGTTTCTTTCACAATCTCATTCCTAAAACGATGGCTTACAAGATCATAACAATCGAACTAACAAGGGAAAAAAAACAAAAAAAAAAAAAAACATGGCACTACTTCGATAAATCAATCAGAACCATAATATTTCCTCATATCAATGGAAAAGAGAATGTAAGTTAAAGAAGATAAGGTTGTTTAATCTACAGCCATAATTGGGTTCCGTCGTTTTTTGTATTTATACTACGGAACGAGCAGTGTTCAAAGAAGTAAAGAGCATCAATAGTTTTGACCTTGTGATTTGACGAAAAGAATATTCAGCATCTCCAACAATTAGAATTGTTATGTATCAAGGTCAAAATAAACATCAAATTATCCTATAGGAAGGAGAACAAGTATCACATACCTGAAGAATTGGCCCGACTTTGAAAGAAGCCATCACTTCCTCTTTTGCCACTAAGGTAAGAAGTGGGATAAGAGCAAAGGGTATTTGTATAGATTGGAGCACATTAAGCCATTCATTCAGAACATCCAATGTAGCTTCAGATGTATTAAAAACTATAGCAATAATCATAGTTGGCACTATAGCAAAACTCCGTGTGATTAATGCCCTTAGCCATTTCTTCAAGCGAAGGTCAAGAAAACCTCCCATGATAAACTGCCCAGCATAAGTGCCAGTTATGGTGCTACTCTGCCCAGCAGACAATAACCCAATCCCCCATATGTACAAAATTGGCAATAATCCTCCTCCGTATTTCTCCTCCAAGTATTGTCCAGCATTCACCAAGCCAATGCTACTCGCTTGTTTAGTGCCGTAAAATCCCTTGGCAAATACGGTAGTCAAGAATAAATTTATCATGAAAGACACTAGAAGGGCTATGGTGGACTCAATTGAATAATATTTCAGGGCCTCCTGCACATGTCCCTTCTTTTTGGGATCTATTTTCCTTGATTGCACCAATGCAGAATGCAAGAAAACATTGTGGGGCATTATGACACAACCAACAACTCCAACAGCTTGCCGGATTGTTTTTGAGCTTAGTTTAGGCACTAGAACACCTGCAAAAGCAGTGTCAACATGTGATGTAATGCATTTGCTTAATGCCAGCGAGGCCAGCAGCCAGGCAGTACAAGGTATGATTAGGATAAACTATCACTATGTAATTACCTATAAGAAGTTCCTTTCCGCTGGGCTTTGCATCAGCAAACATCCAAGCAAATGACAGAGCCATTGTACCAATGAGAACTGCAAAAACAGCTTCTAGTTTCCTCACTCCGTAGTTCTCAAGAAATAAAAACATGAAACTGTTCGCATCAAAGATTTAGTAAGTCGTTGATTAGCCATGCCAATTTATACTTGCAAATTCAAGTAAAAACATTCGCATGTAGAATCCCCACCGACACACACGAATTCACACACCCGCACACGCACACACACACACACATACACAAATATATATAACTTTGGTGAGAACTCTTTCTTATGTGAGAACACTTTCTTATGTTCTAAATTTTAAATCTGATGATCTAAACGTTTCCGCAGGTGTTTTAAATTAAGTTGGATGTTCTAAATTAGTACTCACATGTTCTAAACCATATATTAGTTAAGTTTGATGTTATAAATTTTAAATAATTTGTTCTAAAATTTTAACTCATATGTTTTAAATTTAAAACGTTTGTTCTAATATTATTAATCATATGTTCTTGAATTTAAAGCATATGTTTTAATTTTTACTCGTATGTTCTAAATTTTTACTCGTGTTCTAAATTTTTATTCACATGTTCTAAATCTTAAATCAAATGTTCTAAATTTCACAAAGCAGATTTTCTTAATTTTTACTCAAATGTTCTAATTCTTAAATCAGATGTTCTAAATTATTACTCATATGTTTTAAACTTTAATTTGAGACACATGTTCTAAATTTTTACTCATATGTTCTAAACTTTTACTCACATGTTAAAACTTTTACTCACATGTTCTAATTTTAGGTAGTTCTCACATAAGTATATGTTTTCACATATGGACCTTTTCTTATATATATATATATATATATATATACCACTAATATATAAAGCCGGTCTCGCCAAGTGTCGCGCCACGTAAGAGATAAATAAGTATTATTGTGACACATATGATGCTACGTAAGCGATTTTGAATAGATTTTTTAAGATAAAATTGTTGCATAGAGTTTTATTATCTATAAAATTCTAATATTTCATATATACAAAATTAATCATAACTTTTAATAAATATTCTTTAACTCAATTCTATTTCCATCATCAAATTTGTTTTAAAAAGTTTTATAAAATAAGATCCATTTATAATATATTTAATCACAAACTTTTATACGTAGCTAGCCAAACCGTGTCACCAACTATTAAAAGATAAGAATTACTTCGTTAGTGCTATATATAGGGGTGGTCGGTGTTATAGTAGCTACTTAATCGGTGTTATAGTTAGGGGTTACTTAGTTAGTGTTAGAGGTAACTCAATTAGTATTAGTATTACAGGAGTTACTCGATCGGTTTTATAGGGGTTACTTTGTCCGGTTAGATGGTGTGGTTAGCCGCACACAAAATGCATTTTAGTTTAATCTGTAAGAATAAGTTTTAATCAGTAAAAAATTTCTACACGTAGTTAGTACCACTGAATGAATATATAGTATCACTACATACATACATAGTACCACTGAATGTTCAATGGTATTATTTGATCATCCAATGATATTATTGATCACCCAATTGTTAGAATATATACTTTCGTGAAATGACCTTCATGTCCATTGTGATGCATTTACTAATCTAAGAAAATATTAGAAAATCGGTAAAAATAAGTAAAAAAAATTTTAATCAGTAAAAATAAGTTTTAATCAGTAAAAAATAATTTTAGTTTGGTGAAAATATTTTCAGTGAAAATAATTAAGTTCAATAAATATAATTTCAAGTTAATAATAATATAGATATCTATTAAAAACAAAACTACATAAAGTACACCATATATAAATATAAGCCATATGATATCGTATGTCTAATTTAAATATCCTACATTATCAAAACGAATTATTTTACCGTATTTAACCTTCAAGTAAAAATGTTATCTTAAAATTTTATAAGGGCACAAAACTAGTATACATATATATATACTCAACTAAACAAAGAAACCATACCAGGACCAAAGGGATAGGGATTGTTCTGAACTCATTTAAGCGATAATTAACAACATTCAAGGCCTTTTTTTTTATATTAAAACATGTACTTTGGTACGTTAAATCCTGTACCAATGTCCAAAATCATGGTTGTATCCAACAAATCAAAATACAATTATATGAATCCTATTACAAGAGCAATGTCAGGACAGGTTTACAACTGAAGAACAAACAAATACTACACAGAAGAGATGCAAGTAAATATGCCTTCATCATTCAAAAAGGAGCTACAACAAAAACATAATTGCTAAATGTCGGTTCATAAACTAGTTCATCAATTAAAGAATAGTTGAAGAAAATATATTAAAACTCACCAGTCAGACGCGGTGATAATAACACCAGCCCAAAGGGGCAAAACCCCACGGCTAAGTATCTGAATAGCAATGGCACTTCCAATAACCTCTTGAATATCCGCCCCAATGAGAGCGATTTCTGCCATGATCCACAGCAAGTATCGCGCCCAATTCGGGTACTCCTCTCTACAAAGCTCAGCTAAATGTTTACCGGTAGCGACTCCGATTCGAGCCGAAAGTAGCTGAATCAAAAGCCCCATTGCCGTAGCCCAAAGTAATAGCCACAGCAATGAATACCCAGCAATAGCTCCTGCTTGTAGATCCCCTTCTAAATTACCCGGATCTAAAAATGCTATACTCATCAAAAACCCTGGCCCCGTAAATCGCCATAGTTTCTTCCATGAAAAGGGTCCTGGAGTTGTGTAATCACTTAGCGATTCGACATCGAAATCTTCTATGCATATTTTCTCGCCGGATTCGAACGCAACTTCTGAATCCTCCTCTAATTCTTCGAATAATTCGATTGGTTTATTGGGGTTCTGGGGTAAAAGTTGATTGGATTCTGAAAATTTATCATCGTCATTGAATTCAGCTGTTAATTCCATCATCATTCAGTAGTTCAATGAATTTTGAAAGTACCCAAAAAAATTGACCAGAAACTGAGCTATATGGTGATAAAGAGTAATTAGTAGATGATGAAGCACAGGTATTTTGATTTTGTCAGGAGATTTCAATAGGGAGATTTAGTCAAGAATTTAGGAAGGAAAGACGTCGCTGTTTTTTTTGTCTAAATTGATGGTTAACGGTGGACTTGCTGTTAAGGGTGGCTTGTGTTGTGCTCGTGGCGTTACGAGGCCTTCTAAAGGGAGGTTAGTGAGGTATGAGTAAATGCATCATGATGGACATGAAGGTCATTTCACGAAAATGTATATTCTGATAATTGGGTGATCAATAATATCACCGGATGATCAAATAGTACCATTGAACATTCAGTGGTACTATGTATGTATGTAGTGATACTATATATTCATTCAGTGGTACTAACTACGTGTAGAAATACTATCACTACATAGTCAATGATATTATATAAGCTTTTAGTGAAACATTTAAAAGTGGTCCCACTTAGCCATCTCTCTCCTCCTTTTTCTCACCCACATGTGCACTTTTCAATATCTTAGTATTGGTATGCATTTGCAAACGCATAACAAACCTACATTAGTACTTCCTCGTGGCGTTATAACTTGTGATTTGACTTGGCTAAGATAGATTCTTTCAATTGGCCATTGAGTTAAAGGGGAAGCGGAAGTAAGAGGGCTTTCAAACGGAGGGATGTGAGGCAATAAAGTCATGTCTCACAAGGGTAATGTAGGCATTTCGGGCGTCATCTTAAAGATATATCATTAAGTTATCAAAACATACAAAATACGCTATCAGTGGTACAAAATACACTCTCAATGATTGTTCCCTCTAGGGTTTCTCCTTCGGAGGGTTTTTCTAAATCCCTCTAGAGTTTCCCCATTTGAGGGTTTTTCTAGCCTCTATTGCTAGATTTTTTTCTAATTTTTATAGGTTTTCCTTCACTCTTCTCCTTTTCTCTTTTTCTCTTTCATCTCTTTTCTTCTGTTTTTTTGTAAATCATTGTTGGGGCTTCCACCGGTGTTTTTACTGGTGGTAAGCCCCAATAAACTTTTTAATTGATTGCTTTCTATAAATGAATCTCATCTTTAAGATGGTGATTATTCTATTAGTGTTAATTTCTTTGTTTGTTCGTTTGCTGAACATTGAAGATTTAGGGTTTCATAATCTCTAGAAGTATTTAGAAGACCATATGAGTGTTTTCACTCAAACAACTATTCATTAGTGTATCTCACAAATTGTATTGCTTCAGATGAAGTTTTTTATTAAAGCGATCGTTGATCGAATCTACGATGTAACGAGTTTTAAGGTGATTTGCACTTGTGTTGGAATTTTAGATTTCCTAAGAATTGTTTGTAAGTGTCGTTTGGCTATAATTCATTAATGAAATCCTTTTTCATCTTGTAAAAAAAATAAAAAAAATTAAAAATTAAAAATTTCAATCTCAGTGGTACAAAATATAGTCTTAGTGGTACTTAAAAAAGTTCCACTGGAGTTTCATTGGAACAAAATATAGACTCAGTGATAGTGGTCCCTATAAATTTTTGTCCGTTGTGCACATGAATATATGTCTGAAAAGTTTTAGTGGGACCCACATCACCTTTTTCACTCTTCCTTTCTCTATCTTCCTTATTCCTTATTGTTTTTTTTAATAGTTGTGAGACATTTCACCATATCTCACGACACTCCATTTATACTTCATCGAGGAAGTAGTAATGCAGTATTGTTATGTATCTGCAAATGCATAATAAATATCAAAATATTGAAAACACATGAAAGAGAAAGAATAGAGGAGAGAGATAGGTAATTGGGACCACTTGATTAGGGTAAAAATACCCTAGTCATGTGGCCAAATCAGAAGGTGACATGTGTCACCCCAAGAGTTGTCCCAATGGGACCAATCAGCGGCTGACACGTGGCATCCCCCCACTCGAATATTAAGGAAACGACGGCCTTCAAGGGCCCAAATCTCGAGGCACCATAAAAACGGTGCAACCCAATTACCTAGGTTAAATAACCTAGGATAAAGACACTAACTCCCATGCCCTATAAATGGGGGAGTTTATTACTTTAGGAGACACATTCAATTCTTACATCACCCCTATTTATTACAGGCTTACAGCAATCACTCGCTACAGTGATTCACTAGATCCCCAGATTCGATAAGATCTTCTATATTTACTTCTCCACAATTATTACACTCCACCCGGTACTAACTTAAGCGTTGGAGGCGGAACTCCGATCAACCGGAGCTTCTGTTTGCTTGCAGGTACAGGCATCGAGGATCCAGTCTTGGTGACATAACTCTCCTGCAGGACATCTTAAAAAACCCCGAAACATTTGGCGTCGTTTGTGGGGAGAGTACCTCTAAGATGGTATCTCAAGAACCTGTACTACTACCTGAGGACAAACGCCCAGAAGCAAAGGTCCATTCGAACCATGATACTGAGTCGGACCCAGAGGTTGAAGTACATACGGCCGAAGATGGTTCCCTCATCTCAAAGCGCATCCATAAAAAAGAAAAGATGGAGCAGACGGAATGTCAACCAAGCTATGTGAGAAGGTCAGCCGGTAAGCCTCTAAAGGCCTAAATGCTCACATTACCCGTTCAGAGTTCTTGAAGTTCATGACAAACTTAAAGGGCGAGATGAAAGACTTAATCAAAAGTCAGGCGGCTTGTCCAAGTAAGGAATAGCCGGCCAAGAAGCCTTCTCCCTCTGGTAGGACCAAGACGGTCAAGGGCAGGCAGCCCACTCCACACCTCAAGAAGAAGGAGGGGGATCGACCCTTGATTGATTCCGTCTCCTAGATACTTCGAAGAGGAAGCCTATCCGGCACATAAAGCCGGATGGCAGGAAGAAGAGCTACACTAATGCTCGGCAGATCATGTAGCACAGGAGGAGTCAGCTGTCTGACACAGCATCAACGCCGACAATGCCAGACAACTTCAAGAATACCTCTATGAGGTATTCCCATTCTAAGCATGAGCACCCGCCAAGCGGTCATTCCGTCCGATGAATAGGTCCTCAAATGATAGGCTCGGTGTTGTATGTGCCCCACCAAACATACGGGCTATTTGCGCAACCTTATCAGCAATCTACCCTCTTCGGGGGATAGGCAGCATATCAAGTCCAACCTTTAGACTAGCAGCTTCGTCTGCTGAAACTTGGTGAGCAACCTTCTACATTCTCCAAGGAAATAACCGAGGCAGCATAGTCGGCCATGGTTGAGAATGTCTTGGTTGGTGCCTATGATGGCACCACCAACCCAATAGACCACGTAATGGCATACACCAACCTCATGTATCTACAAGGGTTGGATGACGCCGCATGGTGCAGATGCTTCTAAGCTAAACTGAAGGGAATTTCCCAACAGTGACTCGGCAATCTGCCATTTAGGTACACCAACAATTTTAGGATACTTGCGTTCCTGTTCACCTCTAACTTCTCCATGAACATACCGGCTAAAAAGACAAGCATCGATTTAGGGGCGGTTGTTCAGGGAGATCGTGAGGGGCTCCGCTCATACGTCAGACGGTTCGATCCGAAGAGGATACAAATCCAAGGGCTTCCTCACAAAATAGCTTTTACATACTTCTTCAAGGGTATGAGGACGGGTCACCTTTTAAGTTTGACCTCGTCTAGAAGAGGATCTTCAGTCTTCTAGAGGCGTTGAGGGAGGCAGAAGCCTATATACAAGCGACTGAACTCTACTCCTTAAGCAAGCATTCGGACTCAAAGAGTTAGCAAGATCAGCCGGCTCAGAAAAATGAAGAAAGCAAAAGGAGAAAAGATGTCTAGGCGGTTCATGACTCTAATCAACCGTCCGAAAGGAGGAAGAAAGAGTTTAAGTCGTACGTCCCTAAGTACGAGCTTAACAAGGACTGCTATTCCAACCTCATGAAAATCAAAACCGGGTGAGCATTAAAAAGCCCTCGGTAATGAAGGGTCCAGTCAAAAACCGAGATAAGAGCAAATACTGCCATTTCCATGAGGATATAGGCCACGACACCAGCGACTGCTACAGCCTTAAACGGTTGTTTAATAGGTTGGTTGGGAAGGGATTGCTCAAGCCCTATATTCTCAAGTCCAAGGTGACTCTACAGACAAACCCTAAGCAGCCTTCCAAAAAACCAGCCAAAGCTGACAGTGGTTCGAACATAGATCCGAACATGATCTGCACAATTGTAGGCAGCTTCGCTTCAGGCGACCCAATTATTAGAGGCACCAAGGACCATGTCAGAAAAATGGTCAACTCAGTTGACGAGGTTTAGACATCTGCCGATACATTTCCTAAGGTCGTCATTACAGAAAAAGATCGGGCCAAGGTCCGTCGGCCACATGATGACCTTATTGTTATTGAATGCAAGGTGGCTAACCAAAGTGTTGGCCGGATCCTTATTAATACCGGCAGTTTGTTTGATATAATCAGTTGGCAATGCTTGTTAAAGCTAAAGTACAACCCAAGCAGCATGCATCTGGTTTCTCACCCCTTGGTAGGTTTTGGGGGTGGAGTCGTACAGCTAGTCGGTCGAATTGATTTACCCATCCGACTAGGTGAAAAGGGTAAAGGGCAGAATATGGTCGTTTGGTTCTTGGTGATAGAGTAGTTGATCGCCTATAATCTCATCTTTGGTCGTCCGACTCTAAATGAATCCAAGGTCGTCATAATACCCTCCCTCATGCTGCTGAAATCTGAAAGAGATGATGGCTCTGTCAGTTCTCTGAGAGGAGATCAGAAGGTAGCACGAGAGTGCTACCTCTCAAACGTCAAGCCTACAGCAGCCGGCCAGGATGTTAAGCCGGTTGATCTGGAAGATGTCAGGGAACCTGAGTTTGTCCCACGAGCAAGTGGTAAGAAGAGAAAAGTCGATCAACTAGTAACCGTCAAGAAAGAGAAGCAATCTCAATCATTGACTGGGGAATGGTCAGATGACCTCCCTCCCCAGCCGGCTAGAGAGCACACTAACATCATTCTGGACGACGCACACCCGAAAAGAACTGTTAAGGTGGGGACGGTTGCCTTTGGAAAATTGGGGGCAAGACTTACATGATTTATTGAAAGAATTCAAAGATGTATTTTCTTTTGAAGTGGAAGTGATGCTAGGCATCAGCCCGTATCTTGTTGTCCACAAACTCGCTGTTGACCCGAGGAAAATGTTGGGTTTCGTAGAGTTCGACTCTACGTGGAAGAGAAACCCGCCTAAGACCCGCACACTAATCAAAG